CCTAAACCCTCAACCCCTAAAACCTTAACCCTAGGGGAGGCTGTGTCTTGACTGCCCTTGAGGCTGTTCTTGGCTTTCGAAGACCTGGTGGAGCAGCCAGAGGACCAGATTCGGAGGACTTCTGCTGCATCTGCTGGGCTCTGTGGAATCAACATTGGGATACAACTGGGGTACAATTACAATAATATTGGGGTAATATTGGGTAATTTTGGGGTAATAATGGGTAATATTGGGGTAATAGTGAGGTAGTATTGGGGTAATAGTGGAGTAATTTTTGTGTAGTGTTGAGGTCATATTGGGGTAATCTTGGGGAATAACATATTGTTATATAGGGATAATGGAAAATAAATAAGATGGAAACTACTTTGAAAGTCAGACCCACAGGCCTCAGACCTCGGACCAGCTCCTAGTTTGCTGACATCAATATGGGACTTCCAAAAGGTGAGCCCTAGGGTTGGGCCCCCACCCACTAATCGTGACCACAAGAGGTAATGGTTATTATATTAGGGTCCGTATACATTCCTAGTATACCGCTATTACTGGGTGGCTGCCCAACCCAAGTGACCCCTAACTTTCCAGACCCCTCCCCACCTCCCTATAGGCACTTCGCATGCAAACCTGCCTCCGCAGGATTGGGAAGTTCATATCCCCTCACGGCCGCCTGTCAGAAGACGTCCTCACGGTGGCCCAGAATCAGTCTACCAGGAAGTTCATGCAGGCGCTTGTTACGCCGAAAGTCATTGTATAAGCAGGGGTGTGATGCCCCAACTTTGGGCCGGTCAATAGTCTGTCTTGCTAGGTTTGCTTAGGTGGTTCCTTATTCATTTCTTGCTGAATGTCAGTCGACTTAAGTACCGTCCGAATAGCTCCTAGGGCCTGGTAAGTCATGCAGCAGGAGCACATCTCCCAGTTCGATGACCACTTCGTGCTGAAGCATTTGAAGCCGTTTGAGGAGGTGCCACTGGAATTCATGAATTTGAAGTTGGGAGTTCATGCGGCGGTGCTGTAGATGTGGGGGTATGGGGTCTTGGGAGAGTGTGTGGGTCTATAGTAGTGCTCGCACCTTCGGCACATGCCAAACCTCAATGACCCTGTGCCAAAAGCACCCTCTAGAGAGACCTCCTCCAATCCGCCTCTCACCTCCATGACAATTGTGAAAGCAGAAGCCTAGCAAAAACTCAAACACTGGCCCCTCAATCTAGACAGCAGACCCCAGCCGCTGCACCAGCCTACAGCAACAAATGCCTCAAACAAGAATGCCTGGATCTGAGCCCTACACCCCAGTCCCTGGACCGCTGAATTTGAATGGCAAGCCCTGGGTCTTCAGCCCGAGTCGAGAAACCTCCTTACTGGTAGTTAGTAGGGGATGAAGGGATGGGTTATGGGGGTCGCTGTTGGTGCTTCTCTAGGGATTTCCCTAAACTTATTGCAGTGCCGGTCCCTAGAGTGGGGTTGCTGTTGCAGTATGGGTTCCCATTTAACATTTCCAACCTAAGTAACTTAGGGCAAGTCCCAAGTGGGGACTACTATAAGGACTCTTTAACCCTAAACTCTACACCTCAAGCTCTAAACCCTAAACCCTGAACCCTAAACCCTGAGCTCTAAACCCTAGTGCAAAAAAACTTCAAACCCTAAACCTTAAATCTCAAACCCTACACGAAGCATGGCTTTTTCAGATCGTTGCCTAGGAGGTACTTGCCTACGGGCGGCTGCCGCGGATTCCCAAGATCTGGACGGAAAGCCTACCCGAGGATTTGGGGATTTCCCAAAATTAGGGGGTACCTTTTATTTAAAGGGGGTTATAGGAGAGATGAAGGGTTCTACAGGGGTATAGGAGGGTATAGAGGGGTTAGGGTTTCCCAAATTAGGGGGTACCGTTTTGGGGCTACCGAGAAAAGGGATTATAGTAGTCTTGGGGTCCATTTTGGGGTCCCCTTATTTATGGAAACTGTGATTTGGGGTAAAAGGATTCGGGTTTCAAGGCTTGGAAAGTGGGGCGTTGGCGGAAGTGGACAGCTGTGCAAGAGTTTGGGGATTGGGGTATAGTGTCGTAGCACCATGTGAACTGCAGTCTATTCTCCTTAAAAGAGGGATTATATAGGGGAGTATT